TTTCTGACAGTATTTTTTCAGGTCATGGAATATAATAGACATTGTTAATCTTAGAAATAGATATATAAATAAATCACTTTTATCAGCAAACTATGTTTCCTGAAGGCAGAATTATCTTTACATGCCTTTTATATCTAGGCTTTGTTCACTTGGCTTATCTAAATGGTTTTCATATTTTGTCTTTCTACATTTTCTTTGACTTATATCAGCTTTACATTTTTCTTAGTTCTATTTTGCAGCTACTTTGCTGTGATTTTTAACTCCTTTACAATGACTGTGTTAATAATATTCTAATGTTGGTAATACTTTTAGTTCTCTTTCATTGTAAAAGCAATCTTTTAAACTATCCTACTAACATTTAAGCAAATGGAAATAAAAAAATGTAGAAAACCATTATTAAGCTACTATCTTCTAAGGCAAGAAAGTCTGTGATTTTCATCAAAAAGAGACATCTATAAAATTCAGTTATAGTTTGCCCTTATACACACATACAATTTCATCTGTTTCTAATATCCCCCCTTAATGCTTCTTTTTTTCTTTTTAAATTATTTTACTTTATTTTATTTTGAAGAGTAAAACAAAAGCAGAAACAAAGGCAGAAACGAAAATACATGTGCTAGATTTTCACAAGAATATCAAATTAACAATGACTGTATATTACCAAGTTTTATCGTGAAATCTTTAAAGCTTCTAAAATGCCTATTATCTATTATGAGTAAGAATGCATGTAAGATTTTGCCAAAATGTAAGAGGATACCACCAATTGTCATCTTTGAAAGTTGAAGTGTCAGTAACTCAGAACAAAGGTAGTACAGCTATTGCACAGTTGGATTTATTTTATATAGCATGTAGTGAGTTTACTCTAAGCCATCTGAAAGCAACCACAGATGGAAAAGTGTGGTATATAGGGAACTTGTTCAGATTCAGTCCTTAGTAGCCATCACAGTTACATTTTGTACACTCTGAGAGAAGTGGCTTTTCTGGAAACTTAGGCCAAGAAGTTTGTCAAACCAAATCTCTAAAGAGTTGGAGGCAACGTCACCATCTTTTTCATGCTGCACAGATTTCAAAATTGGGATAAATTAACAAAATCCATTACTGCTTATGTTCTGGTCACTGAAGAAATCCTCACAGATACTTCTTTGCAAGTAAATGAACAACAACAACAAAAACCAAACCAAAAAAAATGAATTATATTCCTACCTCCACCCTTCAACAGCACATAAAAAATAAAATTTACACATTGTATCTTCAGTTTACCTGAAATAAATGCTATCAAATAAAGTGTTTTCAGTAATTATATTTCACCAATTTAAAATTGAAATTATTTTGAAAATCTTTATTCTTTATGAAAATATTGCATGTATTCATTAATGAATGTATCGCACACGTTGTTATTTTTCTCAAGTTTTGGAAACGTCAATTGTTATAATTTTGGTTTCCTATAACACTTGGCAATTTATAAGGCTTTGTTATACCCTATTATTGCATGTTGACATTGGACCTCATTGTGACTCCTTTAAAATACTGCTCAAATGTGTATGTTATCAGTGTATTTCATATCAATATACATTTGTACAATTTTTTAAGTATATTATATATTAATTTGTATTTATATTTTCATTGTTTTTCTCCTAAATACAGGTGCATGAGTTTAAAGACATTCTATAATATATAATAATTGAAGTCCAAATTGTGAAGTTTTTATTTTACATTATAGTAAATCAATGATATTCTAGTCACAGATGTTTTCCTGATTGATTCTTAAATATAGTTATCAGGTTGCTTCCAATTAATCTTTAATACCATTTCAAAATACTTTAGTAATTTCCATGAGTCAGAAAGTAGAATTTTGGAATCTTAAACAAGAATTTTGGGAAGAAAATAATTTACATAACCTGCAAATTTCAAGGAAATTAATGATTTGCTTACTTCCAAAGTGTCAAGTTGAGATAAAAGGAATCTAAACATTGCATCATATGCCAGCATTAAATAAAGAGCTACAGGGGCCAGGGAGATAGCTCAGAAGAATAAGTGTTTGCCTGGCAAGCGCAAGGGCCTGAGTTCAATCCCTGGTTCTGCCAAAATAGAAAGAGAGAGAGAAAGAGAGAGAAAAAGAGAGAAAGAAAGAGAGAAGGGGGGGCTGGTGAGATGGCTCAGTGGTCTAAAGCACCTACTTAGAACAAGCTTGAGCAAAGCACAGGGACCGCGGTTCAATCCCCCAGCACCACATGCCAGCCAGCCCGCCCCCTGGTGGGCTGAGCTGGCCACGCACGCACA